AATACATTTCATTTCAGATATCGATATGGTGTTACATTACAACACTTAAAGGCTTATTGCCTGAAGTGAGTCAATGAGCAACTTAATCCGTAGTGATTACACTGTAAAAGAAATCCAAACTAACATTTCAACAGGTGACTAGATATTTTAATAGTAAGCAAATTTAGTTATTGCATTAAAAACCAATGCTATTTCTTAAAGAATTTATTTTGATGTGTTTGGTCCCTTGAAACTGTTAGAAAGATTGAATTACCATAGCATACAAGAGACCTGATGAAATCATATAAATAATAGTTCCACATAAACTAAATTTCCTGCACATGGGGATGCAACATTAGAATCGTAACGAGTTATTTATGTGAACCATGACCTGATCTTATAACTAAAGAGCTTATCTAGCCTGTAAATATAGCACATGTAGCTGAGCACATGTATGCATGCTTAATTACATCATTTCCTGTGTGAATTACTTATCCTTAATTTTGTGGGGAAACCTCATCTCTAGGTTCAGGAAGGGCTCAGCTGATCTAAATATCCACTGGAATGCCCCAGGTGAATATCTACTGACCATATGCCCCAGGTGATTTAGGTAGAGGCAGAACCAGGGGAGCCAGACCAGTAATACAGGAAATTGTAGGTGGCTTCCTTAGTTTTCTTTAGAAATCTGTCAGTGGGAGAGTGCTCCTGGCTTGCAAGGGCAGAAGAAAGGGACCTTGCCAAGTACTTCAGACAGATGTTGTCCTGGGTTCAGCAGTAGCAGTCATTTTTCCCCGTCTTGGTAGATGGTGCAGTGCAGTGTTTTGACTTTCAGCTCGGGAACAGAACTGATAACAAGGATGTTTTGGTTTGGCCAAGGACTTTGTGAGCCTCATGCTCTGCCAGGGAGGAGGGGGAGCCAGGAGGAAGCAGAGACAGGACACCTGACCCAAACTGACCAAAGAGGTATTCCATACCACAGCACGTCATGCCCAGGATGTAACTGGGAGTTAGCCGGAAGGGCTGGGAGACTGCGGGGTTGGAGGAGGTATCGGTCGGAGCTTGGTCGGGCTTGGGGGGCGAGTGATCGGTCAGCTGGTGGTGAGGTGTTGTATTCTCTTCCCTTGTTATTTCCTTTATCATTATTATCATTGGTGGTAGCAGTAGTGATCTGTGTTATACCTTAGTTACTAAACTGTTCTTATCTCAACCCATGGGAGTTGCATTCTTTTCGATTCTCCTCTCCGTCCCTCCGAGAGCAGGGGGAGGGCAAGAAAGGGGGGGAAGTGAGCGAACGAGTTACCTGACTGGGTTTAAACCACGACAGATGTTCATTCACATTGTCTTAGAAAGCAGATGGCAGGCCTCAGCTTCTGCACATATATGTTCTACTATTGGCCTAGCATGTGAGACATACTTTTTTTAAGCCTGAGTGGTTTTAGAAGTTGCTCTGCACTTGATTTAATTACAGGATCAGCTTAAGTTGCATACTGTGAGAAACGTAGCTTGATTATTTATTTTTTTTTTAATCTGGAAAATGAAATTCCCTTAAAGAGAAAGGAGTTAGTGGTGATAGAGATAAGGCAGTCACAAGAGGAGAGTAATCACTCTGGGTCCTGAAATATAATAGAAAAAGTAAATGTTAAAGTGGAGAGCCATTTAAAATGCATAGATTTTAATACCAGGATTGTTGGCGATCTTCAGGCTTGATCTGTTGAGCAGAGGTCAGAGTGCTGCTTACTAGTTTCTAGTTTATACCCAAACCTTCTATCAGGACTGTAGCATTTCTTCAAGACAGTTGTCTGGTCATAATTTAAGGACTTCAAATCATGGATTATCCCTTGGGTACCCTAGGTAAATTATTTCAGGGGTTAGTTGCACTTAGCAGGAAAAAAAAAAAAAAGTCTTTAGTCTCTATTCATTGACAATTGAGTAAATTTTAACCTCTTCATGGATGAAAAAATGTAGATTGCAGTTTTGTTGTCTTTATATGTTGGAGTTTATTTCTAATTTCTAGTCATTCACACAGCTTATTCTTTCCATTTGTTCTCAGTATCCTTTTTAAAGGAATAACAGCAAAAATAATGATGGCATTGCAGCATTGGTCTTCCTGATTTTGTATACTGCAGTTATAAAGTGGAAACAGAGGGAGTTATATTTACCTGCTTGTATGTTCAAGATAGAAATATGAATTCCACACATTGACAGGCTGGCTTGAAACTGAGCAGTTACAAAGAGCTACAGTTAGTTGAATGGTATTTTCTCTCCAGTTTCTTATGTGAGACTAAATGGCCCTGTAACAAAGAATACTCCAGGGCATGATGATTCCTGATGTGAAGCCATCAGTTAACCAGTTATATATATTGTATAAAAGTGTAATTCTCTTTTGAATATGTTAGACTGTTAAAATAGATTTATGTAGGATAAATATGTTTTCATAATGGTTTGTTAAAAAATGGAAAGTGGAGTACCAGCTGGCAGTGCTTAACATTAGGTTCTCCTGTGCTTATTTTCAGGGTTTTGTATGGCAGTATCACTCATTTTAAATCTCTGTTCTGTTAAAGATGAACCATTCTTCCTAATGAATAAAAAATATTAAGGCTCTCATATTATTACATTTTGTGCCTTTTTACCATTTCTGAGTCTCAGTAGAAAACTTATTTCATTCCTTTTTTTGTCATAAATCTTCTTCAAAGTCTAGCAAAAGATATCTTTAAGATGTATTATGCATCATCTTAGTAGTCAAGGCTGCAAAATAATGGGCCTAATTTTCCCTTTGCTCTGGTGCAAATCCCTTGAACTTCATAGTTTCACATTTTTGTACCTCTGTGAATTTTAATTAGTTTCAAGGTTTTGCAAAATAGCAATTATCATGCAGTTATTCCAGTATGAAATCTTCTTTATTTAATGTTACTTTTTTGTATCCATTTCTAGATACTCAGTTTTAATTTGGCCAGAAGCTGTTTATGATGATGAGGGCTGCAGGGTCTGAGACGATGTCTCATTCAAAACAATGTCATTTGCACTATGAAATAATGATCAGACGCTAATTTTGCACCACTTGTGGGGCATCAACCTTAACAACTTGTAGCAGAGTTGGATCAATTTCTTTTCGGCTTCATCTGAAGACTGCTCAGACCATAAAAGGCTGATGAATTTATCCTCCAGAATACTAAACTGTCTGTCTTCTTCATGGAAACTCATGTTTCCCACATTGGTTTTAGGGACCTGGAATCGAGATGTGCAATTGAGAGGATGAATCCCATTATCAATAAAAATAATAGTACGAAAAGGCTCAGAGAACACATTTATCTGCTTTTTTTAAAAAATTTCCTCTTATGATAAGAAAGTTCACACCATAGATCACTTTTAAGTGGCTTTAATCGACCAGTCCACCTAATACCCTTTTTCCTCCAGCACTGGAAAGGTAAATTATCCATAAAATAATGAATATCAGAGGAAAAGCTTGGGTATGAAGGGCAATCTAGCTTTTTTTTTCTGTTCTCCTTGAAATTAGTTACAGGTCAAAGCGGGAAAATGGTTATATATTAATGTGATCACATCTGAAATTTTATTGGATATCTTCTGAGTGTGTTGTCCCATGATATTTCTGGCTTTTGTCATAAAAAACTGACACTGATACATCTCAAACCATCAACATAAAGGTTATGTCAGTGGAATCAGCATGGGTTTTATTTACACCAGATTTGTCCAACTCTGTTCTGATTTCTCTTTTTATACTCAATGTAGAAAGGAACTATATAAATAAAAACTTCAGAGTAGACCAAAGATGCACTTCTAAGTAATTGGATGTTGCATTAAAATGTCCCTGGGTTTCTTTTTTAGTGGTGCTTCTGCTTAGAATTGAGCCAATCTGTCTTCATATTTCCTCTTCTCTACCGTTATAATTGATCTGGCAGTTCGCCACACTTAGCCCCAGACAGTAATCACTTGGCATAGAGGATATTCTGCCTCCCTAATTTGATTGACAGAATAAATCCTGGTTTTAAACTGCTGTCATGTGGTTTTTATCAGTAAATAACACACATTTTACTATGGCATGTGTACATTGAGATAGACAGCTATGTCTTTTTAATGTGCCTACCCAGCAGCAGAGGAGGAGTCATGAAAAGCAATCATATTTTCATCAACTCTGCTGTAAGAACACAAACCTTGAAAGTGATTCTTAGGAAAAAAAAAACCTAAAGCTTGAAGACATCTGTTAAGTTTTCTTTTAGAGGAAGTCATATGTGTGTTATACAGTCTAACAAGCTGAGGAAAATGGGCTTTACTCATAAAGGCTATTTCCCTATATAAAACATTGCAGAATTTATTTATTTTTTAATATTCTGTGTTATAATGCAGATACAATAGCTGAAAAACATTACTCGTTTTGGGAAACATAGCTGTGCATGTATAAATTATTTCTCTATTAGTAGTAGTAAAGCTAACATTGTACTTTGTTCGAGTTACACCCAGTTGTAGTTTGCCTGGGAGAGGACAAACTGTTTTCAGTTATGTTCAGAGAAATGATTGTTTGGTAATGAATAATCTGCTATCAATAAACAACAAAGTCACCACTGCCACCAAACATTATGCTAAGTGGAATCACTGTATGAACAAAAATTCTTCTAGAAGCTCAAACTGAACCTCATCAACATTGTTTGTGAATTAGTACTGCAAAAAAATCAAAGAAGGGCAAAGTAGTTCTGACACAATTGCATGTGAAACCATCTTATAAGCATCAATTTTGTTTAAAACAAATATTTCATTGCAGTAGTAGAAATAAGTATATTCTGGAAAGCAGGGTGACACTAAAATGCGTACATTTTTCAGTGTATGTGAAAGACTTGGGTTTGCCAGGAATAAAATATGAAATTAATCGCATCCTCCAGGGCATTTAAAAGAAGACGTCTTCTAAATGTACTGGAGTCAGAACTGACTGAATTTATTGGGTTTTTGTTACAGTGCCTTAAACCTTGTTTTCCATTTGAGCTATAGTTTTCAACCTAAATGACACATTAGAATTCAACCTTAAATTTACAGCATGTTTATCAAGGAAGGCTGAGCCCAAAACTTTATTAAAAGTGGTTTCTTTGTATTGCAGACTTGCAGACTGATTGTTCTCTGATGGTTCTGTCTTCTGTACTCACACATGAGAGCCTAATAGTACAGGGGTTCTGTTGGATGTGTCTGCTGTGAGGCATGACCCATCTCAGAGGTATTTTAGACATTCAGGCAGATTGCCATAACAATTCTGAATATCTGGGGGCATAATATGCTGTTTCTTCATTGAATGAAGAACTTCTGTAAAAAGCTGGACTGTGGGAAATAGGAGGGGGAGGAAAGCAAGACATTCATGATGATTGTATTGCTAAGAAATTGAGATGGTGATTTTTTTTCCTGTTGTTTTTTTTTCTTCATGTGTTTTTTGGTTGGTTGATTTTTAAATGAAAAGAATAAAAGGTTACCTTATCTGAGCTTGGAAATTATGCATGTTTGGATATTGTAGGTTACTTTGTGAATAATGAATGAGAAGTTCATATAATTATTGAATAAGGGTAGAGAGGAGTGAGCCATAGATATTTTCAAAACTTTGAGATAGAGAAGCAGTTTTGAAGTCTAAGGCTGGTTATTACTTGCATTACTCTAGAGTCCATGTCTTCAATCTTAAAGTCATTAAAAATAAGACATCTGTTTTTGGTGGACAAGTGCACAAGGGCAAGTCTAATACTAACAGAAACACTATTAGCTTTTTTTGCTTTACTCATGTTCAGGTTTTCTTCCATTAAAGTATTGTCACTTTGCACTCTGAGACAAGTCTGTGTTATGCATTACGATCAATTAACTGCATAATTTCTTCTTGTGGAGCATCCCAGTGTTCAGATACTGGTGTGTGTCACCTGAGCAGTCAAATGTACTTGATGTGTGTCTTGGTCTCTGAAAATCCTGCTGAAGTTACCAGTGAGAAAAGGAGAATAAAATCAGAATCTCCAGTACAAGGCAGGGTTCCCTAACTTCAGGAGGTCTCTAATGGGATAATTTTCTCAGCATTACCAAACTATTAGATAAATATCAGCTTCCCTTTACAGAGAGAAAGCGGGAGATACCTGTGTTTAGCCAGATCTTCTCCAGTAATTATGAAATTAAGCTTTAGTCTGAGACTAATTGAGTAGTATTTTCCCTTATTATCTTCTACACTTCTCACAGGTGGGGTGACGTGGGTTGGAAACATGTATACTACTGCACATATTTATTTTATTTTATTTTTTATTTATTTATTTATTCATAAGAGGGCTGGCGCTAACACCAGAAAGTAATCAATTACATTCCCTTACTTAAAACCAGAATCAGTAATACCTAATCATCAAAACTGCCTGTAGATATAAATTTGACAGCTGGAGCTTTGATCCAATCCGAGATGTACCATTTGTTAGATTGTGTATAATTTGAGTATATAGAAAACTAACTAAATTCAAACACCTTGTTTGGTATAAAGAAGGCAGGAGACTTTCAGTCTATTTTTATAGCTTTATGCTTGTAGAATTCAGATTTCTAATAAACCCAAGAATAATTGAATTTCTGGAAGTGTCAGATCTCCCAACTATTACTTAGTAGTGATTTTGTAAAATACTACCTTATATTTTTTTGAGTTTTAGATCATTACACGGGATAGATATAATGATGATATGTGTGGTCAGGCAAATGTCAGAGCTGTACAGTCATTTTATCACAAAGAAAAGCATTGCTTCCATAGCAGCAGTGAGTACTAATGCAAGTTCTGAAGTCCTTTGGGAAAGCTGTGTATTCAATAATTCTTCTATTCTTTTTTAATGATAGTTTTAAATTACTAAAATAAATACATCAAAAGAATACCAGTAAAAAATAACTCTTAATGTGTTTATTTCTTATTTGATCACAGTTGATGACAAGTATTGCTGCTTACTTTGCATACTGATAGTAACCATCTATATGGTGCTTTTAGTAGTATTGTCCATAGTTGGCAACCATCGATAAAAACTTTATCTTAAAAAAAAAGCCATAAAATAATTATTCTCTCAATTTGTAATTATAAAGCTAAAATATTTTAGTTTTACTCAGAAACAGTTCCTGTCTGGTTTTGATTGAAACTATTTGAGTTTATTTCTCAGGTGTATGTAATTTTATTTTAAAGAAAAACAGTGAGTAAGACAAATAGATTTGTTAATCAGTTCAAGGTTTGTCATCATTTATCAAATCCTTAATATTTAATCTAAGAAATGGTATTACTCTGAGAAAATAGCATTTCAAAAGTTGCAAGGTTATTTTTCAGGCATTCAGCTCAGATGATAACTGAGAGCATCATAATGTGAGATTCTTCTTGACTGTCTTCTGTGTGGATGATTGTATTTACTATACTATGGAAAAAAATGATGATGTTACACATTATTGTATGTCTTTCTTTGCCCCGAAGAAACACATACTTTCTAGTAAAAATTACAAAAAGATTTCAGAAGCTTTTTAGCTAGAGCTGTTCCTCTTGTATCACAGCAAATGTGTTTTGCATTGTAAATTATTATAGCAAGTCATATTTCTACTTTCTTATTTTTTTTTTTATTTGTGTCTGATGTCATAACCTGTAAAGGAAAGCAGACTACAGAAAGAATCTATGCAGTTTTTTTTTAACCCAGCAATTTACAGGAAAAAGAGTTTACCTCTTCCAAGGTGATTTACACAAAGAATCAAAATTCTTTAATCAAAATAAGCCTTTATTTTAAAACCTGGATGAAAGAAATCTAGTTTGTTTAGTAGAGGTTAGCTCGCATGTTTTAGCTTCTTATACTGAGGTACAATTAGGACACAAATAATTGACAGTAAAGACAGAAATGTCCTTTGGTATTGATAATACAGCTTTGCAGGATATGAAACCAAAAGCACACTGACTTAACTGTATTAAAATTGGATGCTGGAGAGGGACTCCTCATCAGTGTCTGTAGTGATAGGACAAGGGGTGATGGGTTTAAACTTAAACAGGGAAAGTTCAGGTCAGGTGTAAGAAAGAAGCTCTTTACTGTGAGGGTGGTGAGGCCCTGGAACAGGTTGCCGAAAGAATTGATGAATGCTTCATCCCTGGTAGTGTTCAAGGCCAGGTTGGATGGAGTCTTGGATGACATGGTCTAGAGTGAGGTGTCCCTGCCCCTGGCAGGGTGTTAGGAACTAGGTGATCTTAAGGTCCTTTCCAACCCTAACAATTCTATGATTCTATGAGAATGCTGCTTTTATAAACAGCAGGATTGAATGAGTAGCATACTCTTCTTACAAGAATATCAGTACCAGAGTATGATTCTAAATATATTTCATAGGTAGGTTAGAAGCATGTCAATACATGCAATAGATATCTTTGACCAGAAAATGGTATTTAGCTTGTGGAAGTTTGGGAACTGATGCTGACAATACAATCTTCTGTCTTGTTTAAAGTGAGGCTATGACTCTGTCTAGAGAACAGCATACCATAGATTACATTTCCATCTCCCTCAAACCTGAAGAAAATGTCCTTTATCAGGAAATTAACTTAATACTGCAAAACAAATATGTTCTTTGCATTCTAATGCTTAAAAGAGCTATTAAAAGATCCAAAAATAGTATTTATTTTTACTTTTTTTTTTTTTTTGGTAAAATCTCTTGGGTATAATAACCCATAAATGACATGTCTGATGTCCTCAATAGAGGTGAAAAGTCTGTGGGTTTGGAGAAACTGTAAACTCCTGAAAATATATGGAAATATATATTGAATGATTTCGTATTTTTAAATAACATCCCTGTGCTGGGTTCAGCAGTAGCAGTCATCAAGCTGTCAACATGCCATCAAGCTGTCAAGGGGTGGAACCCATCTGTATTTCTGGAGTGACAGGAGGATCCCGAGAGTTGACTGTGCTGGAGGCTGAAATCAGCCTGACTGGGAGGGAATGGCAAAAGCACCCTATTGTGACTGGTCCAGAGGCTCCATCCATCCTCGGCATAGACTACCTCAAGAGAGGGTACTTCAAAGACCCGAAAGGGTACCGATGGGCTTTTGGTATTGCTGCTTTGGAGACTGAGGAAATTGAGCAGCTGTCCACCTTGCCTGGTCTCTCAGAGGATCCCTCTGCTGTGGGGTTGCTGAAAGTTGAAGAACAACAAGTGCCAATTGCGACCACAACAGTGCACCGGCGGCAATATCGCACCAACCGAGACTCCCTGATTCCCATCCATCAGCTGATCCGTAGACTGGAGAGTCAGGGAGTGATCAACAGGACCCGCTCGCCCTTTAATAGCCCCATATGGCCAGTGCGAAAGTCTAATGGAGAATGGAGACTAACAGTAGAGTATCGTGGCCTGAATGAAGTCACACCACCATTGAGTGCTGCCGTACCGGACATGCTAGAACTTCAGTATGAACTAGAGTCAAAGGCAGCCAAGTGGTATGCCACGATTGATATTGCCAATGCATTTTTCTCAATTCCTTTGGCAGCAGAGTGCAGGCCACAGTTTGCTTTTACTTGGAGGGGTGTCCAGTTCACTTGGAACCGACTGCCCCAGGGGTGGAAACACAGCCCTACCATTTGCCATGGACCGATCCAGACTGCACTGGAACAGGGGCAAGCTCCAGAACACCTGCAATACATTGATGACATTATTGTGTGGGGCGATACAGCGGAAGAAGTCTTTGAGAAAGGGAGGAAAATAATCCAAATCCTGCTGAAAGCCGGTTTTGCCATAAAACGGAGTAAGGTCAAGGGACCTGCACAGGAGATTCAATTTTTGGGAATAAAATGGCAAGATGGATGTAGACAGATCCCCACAGATGTGATCAACAAGATAACAGCAATGTCTCCACCAACTAATAAGAAAGAAACGCAAGCTTTCTTGGGTGCAGTGGGGTTCTGGAGAATGCACATCCCGAATTACAGTTCGATTGTAAGCCCTCTCTATCATGTGACCCAGAAGAAGGATGGTTTTAAATGGGGCCCTGAGCAACAACAAGCCTTTGAGCAAATTAAACGCGAGATAGTTCATGCAGCAGCCCTTGGACCAGTCCGGACCGGACCAGATGTAAAAAATGTACTGTACACTGCAGCTGGGGAGAACGGTCCTACCTGGAGCCTCTGGCAGAAAGCTCCAGGGGAGACTCGAGGTTGACCCCTCAGCTTTTGGAGTCGGGGATACAAAGGATGTGAGGCCAGCTATACCCCAACTGAGAAA